ATATATATATATATATATATATAACTTCAAGTTTGTTTTCTGCCTCTCACCCCTACTTCGAGCTTTCATTTTGTTTTCTGCCTCTCACCTCTACTTCGAGCTTTTATATAAGTAACTATCTCTATTATGTTTTTATACTTCTATTCAATGTTATTATATATGAATGTTACTCTTATGAATGTTACTCTTTCCTATTTATGTTTATGCTTCTGCTATTTATGGTATCAGAGCCGAGTTTATTCAGTAGAAAACTGAACTAATTTGTACATTTATCTGGTTAACATACCTAAAGTCACTGTGACCCAAAGACCACCGTGAGCCAGGAAGGCCATAAGGTGCAGGGATTGTTTCCTGTTGACTCAGGGAAAGAAAACTAAGATAAAATGGCAAATTTGTTTAGAACACTATTGAATAGAACCGCTTCTGGTAGTTCTAGTAATAATACTCTACGAGTGAATAATAGAGAAAAAATAATAATAGATAATATTGAGAAACAATTGCAAAACTGAAATATCCCAAAGGTCCCTACAAATGATATTTATAAAAGGGGAACATATGAGTTTAAACACAGTTTTTCAATAAAAACGGTTGAAGAAACTCTCTCAGTTATGGAAAATCAAGATAGCTTTCAACTCTTTTTAAGTAGAATGATTCCAGATCATATTAAAAGGGGTTATAACTATCTTCATATAGGTCTTGTACAAATAGCAGAAAAACCATTAACCAGATAAGGATTAAATAATTCGGTTTTACTCTGTTTGAGAGATAATAGATATAGAAGATTCAGTGATTCTTTTTTAGGAATCGTTGAGTCGAGTGTCTGCAATGAACCTATATATTTCAACTGTTTTCCAAATTTTTCTGCATCCTTATCCGATCCAAATTTATTAAAAGTGTTAACCCTTAACTTTTAAACTCAAGGTTTTGACATGGACCCTGGATCCCAGAATTTGGTTTTTGTTTATATAAATTTGTTGTAAAGTTATGGATACTGTTTGTGCTAATGCAAGATCAATGGATAAAAAGGGACAAACAATATTTTTTCAAACTAAGATGGAAAAATCCAATCTTGTCACGCCTAAAGCTATATGCTGGAAGCAGGTAAACATACCTGAAAATTGGTCTATATAAACTGAGACTCATTTACGTATTCCGGAAAATAAAGAGCCTAAACAAATAATTGAATATCCAAATGAAGAAATCGAAATTCAATTTCTATCCCTTAGAAGAACCAGATTGTGTATTCCAAATACTGTTTTAGCTCTTAGGCAGCATGCCAAGAATACTGTACCTTCAACTTATATTCCTTCTAGAAGTTCGACTTCTTCAGTGCCTCAATTAATTTATGAAAAAGCACATGATGATAAAATCATTTTAGAAGGATTAAGAAAAAATGAAAAATAGGTACAACATCTAGTTTATACTGTAAATACTCCCAGTTTTTCTCAGATTGAGCCTGCTGAGCCAACCATGTCTGAATTCGATTTCGAAGCTCTGACAATTCAAACCCAATATAAGTTTGTTATAGATAAAGAATAGGTAAAATATATTTTTTGTTTTAAGGAAATAAACAAATAAGGAAATGGTTCCTCAAAAAATTTAATGAAAGACTGAAAGAACTCTTTCATAGTAAATTCAATAAGTTCATGATACAACATAAAACAAATATAATTTTTTTTAAATAGCTTAGGTAT